GACCCGGTTCTACTGGAACCAGAACTCCATCATCTGCTCCACCTCCAGCTGCTCTGAGTCAAACCAACCTGTTCCCCTCCTGGCCTGTGGGGGCGCTGCACCAAGAACCACTGAAGGAAACGACACAAAAACCTCTGAAGACACTGAGAGCAACTTCCTTCTTCACCAGATGGAAACAAGATGGAGGATTTTAGCGGTTGGAGGATTTCTCTTTAGTCTAAAGACCAGGAGCCATTTCTGCTGCTAGCGCTAGGCTAACACGTTAGCTTTGGCTGGATTTACCCAGAATGCCCTGCGCTGTAGTGCACTTCGTGCTTTTGGAGCGGTCTCTGGTCGGCTTGGCGTTCACATTCAATCAGAGGTCGATTAGCGTTCACACCTGACCTCAGTGACCCCATTAGGGTCCTTCCAGTTCTGACCATGTTTCTGAATTAAAGTCCCTCTGCAGACCAAACCTCTCCGGTTTCAGGCAGAAGTTCGTTGTTCTGTTTTTGCTCCCGTCTCTTTTTTACCAGTCAGATAGTCGATCGGCTTTTTATCGCCTTTATGATTCCTGATAAGCTGATTAGAGGCAGACTTGACGACCTTCCTTCATATCGGACACAACTGGAGCGTTTCAGTGGCTGCTGAACCCTGAACGCTGCGGCGCGTTCATCAGAGAAACGTCGGCAGCTTCTCTGGTGTCGTCCTGATTTTCTGTGTGGCTGTTTGTCCACTTAGTGCTGATGGAGCTCAGAGGCAGCTGTTCAAATGAACTGTGATGGCCAAAGACTTTATATAAACACTGCTGCTGGGGTTTTAATGGAGGCAGATGGACACCGACAGCTTTACTGCTGAGACTTAGTGGAGCGGCCCCCGACCGGAGAACGGGTAACACCGGGGCCTCGTCTGACAGCAGATACTGGAAAATCATCCTGGACCAAACTGGAAACGGCCGATTTAATAAAAACATGCAACAGCAACAAGGTGATAAAAGTACCTAAAATCATTTTAATGAGAGAAAAATCAGCTGCTATGGAAACATTCAGATTATATTTATAATTTAACATCTGAGATGCACTGTAAAACATAATGATGAGGCACATCGGACCAATCAGAAACCAGCTGACCAACTTTAACCATGAAGATAAAAATACAGAATATGAACCAGGAAGTGGAGGCTGTGTTTGATTTGTTCAAGAAATGTTGAAGCGACAATAAAAATAAAAATTTAAATTAAACTAATCTAATTTGCCTCCAGCTTTCATTTCTCTGTAAAGCCTCATTTTTTCTGGCTTTTCTCCTTTTTGACCTTGTGAAAGTTTTTCCCAGGAGATTAAAACATTTATGAGATAAAATAAAAACAAACTTTATGCAGTTCATGTTAAACTGAGGACATTTTGAACTCACTGTAAATAAATGTGCTTTTAATTTTGTTACAATCTTTTCTAATGCAAGAGAAGATCTGCCAGACTTTGTGCAGCAGGAAGCGGATTGTGTTTGATTAAATCAAGTTGAACACATCAGAGGGAATCCTCCAGAGATGCTGAGTGGAAACTGGGCTGCAGATGAAGCTGCTGTTCTTAAGAAGCTGAAACGGTGGAAGCGAGTGAGTTTCCATGGGTATTCTCTGCAGAGCGAGTCGATCAGACGGCGGCTGCAGCAGAGCCGCGCTTTCTGCTTACCTGGCTGAGCAGCGGCTCCCTGCAGCCAACAGAAAAACTTTCTCTTATTTTCATTCTGGGTTTGAATTATTTAAAAGTTGTGCTTCTGTTTGTGCATTCAGAGCGTTTCCCCACGGAGCGAGGAAGACGCAGCAGCTGAGGAGGAAGAGCGGCTCGGTGTTGATCTGTTGTGTGATTCCTCTGTTGGAGCCACAGCAGAAAAATTACAGCTGGAAATATGAAAATGATCCTTTGGCCACCGAGCCGCTCTGCTCTCCAGATTATTCTGGAAATGCTCTATTCATGCAGATGTTCCATTATGGGCCTCCTACACACCGGCTTCAGCAGGACGGAAACACAGATGGCGTCCCTGAGTGTGTGTGTGTGTGTGTGTGTGTGTGTGAAATGACAATAATTCAATGCAGGAAAGGGCGGAGAAAGAGTCGCAGGAAAATGGGCTGAAAGAGGAACAAATCAAAACCTCCAGCTGAGTTTGGACCCGTCCAGAACCGACCCAAATATTAACACATTTTAATGTTTCAGTTTGTTGGTGTTCTCCTCCTTCAGTCCGGTCGACCCGGTTCTACTGGAACCAGAACATCTGCTCCACCTCCAGCTGCTCTGAGTCAAACCAACCTGTTCCCCTCCTGGCCTGTGGGGGCGCTGCACCAAGAACCACTGAAGGAAACGACACAAAAACCTCTGAAGGCACTGAGAGCAACTTCCTTCTTCACCAGATGGAAACAAGATGGAGGATTTTAGCGGTTGGAGGATTTCTCTTTAGGCTAAAGACCAGGAGACATTTCTGCTGCTAGTGCTAGGCTAACACGTTAGCTTTGGTTGGATTTACCCAGAATGCCCTGCTCTGTAGTCCACTACCTGCTTTTGGAGCAGTCTCACATTAAACCAACCTGAGTTCACTTCAACCAAACCCAGACCGAGGTTTGGAGGACCAGAGTTAGCTTAGCATTCACACCTAGCGGCGGTGCTGGCCTGTTTGGCGCCTTTGGCGAACAACCCCACTGACGCCCACTTTCCCTCACTTTCTTCTTCTACTAATATCCAATTAGCATTATCTGCTGTTACATCAGCTGTTACCTTTTTGTTTTCTCCTGGTGTTTTCCCGTCCGAAGAAGCTCCACCTGGTCCAGCTTTCTGTTTTAGCAGTCGGCTAACAGGAAGTTCTTAAACATAGAAAGATCTCCTGGTTCAGTTCTTCTGCTCTGTCTTCTCAAACCTCCAGATGGCAGCTGGTACTGAGCCTGGTTCTGGTTCTGGTGGTTTCTTCTTGTTAAAGGGGAGTTTTTCCTCTCCACTTTCGCCCCCTGCTGGTCAGGAGGACAACGACTCGATGCTCTGCTGAGTTGTCTTGGATTGAAACTTTGTAAACTTAGAATAATAAACTAATGCATTAGTTTTGTAAAGTGTTTTGAGCTGCCATTGTTGTGAATTGTCGCCATAGTATCAAACTGACTATTGATACTAAAATTGGTATAATTTATTAAGATTATACCGAGAAACGTCCCCGAACTGAACATGAATCTGTTCAGTTCAGTATGAACAGGTTCATGTAATCAGTCGAGTATTTTTGTTTAATTGCAAATAAATCACCTTATTTTCCAGAGATAAAAAACAAAGATAAAATGTGGAAAAATGAACCTTAATAATGAATATTTAATAAGTGGTAGAAAAGTTAGCAGATGTTCCAGGATGGTTTCTGCTCCCCTGGATTCCTGGTTGACCTGCAGAAACGTCCTGCCATTGCCGCACCGCGCTGTTAGAATATCACGCCAAGTTTGAAGCTCCTTGTTTGTTAAAATTAATATTTGAGGCTCATAATGTCGACTTCAGAGGAGAAGTTGGTGAACATCCCACAATCAAAGGAAGTGTGTCCCCGACCTGTTTCCTCTCTCACCTTTCTACTCCCCTAATTGCCCACCTGTGGGCGTCCTAATTAGCCCTGGTGTTAATCAGGAAGAGGAGCTCACTGGAGACCGAGAAGGCTGGGCGAGAAAGCAGACAGCACAGAAGAAGAAAGAGGGCTGTGCTGCAGAATCAAGGTTAGAAATGACTGTTAGTAAATTAAAACAAAGTACTTGTGGCATTTTGAGAGACGAGCTAATGATGTGCGTTAAAGCAGAGATTTATTACTGAGCGCTCTGCAGAAGGCCATTAGCTGCAGCTTTGATTTATTCATCGGAGGAACCAAGCGGCACAATAAATATGGAAATAACTGCTGGCCTTTTCAGACGGCGGCTCTGGAGAGGGAGAACCTGGATCTGAGGCTTTCAGATCAGACGAGCTCATCATGGAGCCACTGAGGATTAATCAGACGCGCCGACGTGTCACTCAAATCTGTGCACTGAAACCAAATCATCTTCCCACTTTATGTCAAAAATAACCAAATGAAAAATAATCTTAGATCAATGCTTATGTTGCTTTATTTACTTCATGCTTAATATTAACGGTATTTAAACAGATCCTGATTAAACCTGCAGATTTTCTCCCACCACTGAAATGTTGCTGATATATTTTTAATTTTTTGTGTCTCTAGTTGCAAATATCAATAAAGTTTATACAGGAAACGGGCAGAAAGAGAGAACAGGACGAAGACGACTGCAGAGTTACACTGTAAAAAGTTAACAGCAGTAATTAAGAGAATTAACATAATTAATATTTCACCATTTCATTTATTCATCTTTAAACGTCAGTTTCAAACTAAATATTTATTCAAGCTAAATGTTTTGCTAAACATTTAGCTCCTACTCTACAGGAGCTAACAAAATATGAAGCTCCTAACTGACATATATTGACATATTTAGCTCCCAACTAAATATTCAGCTCCAGATGAAGTATTTCACTGACTAAATATTTAGTTTGAAACTGTGACATTTATAAATGAATGAATAATGTGGCTAAAATATGACTTTGTAAAATGGGACCTATTTTTTCTCTCATGCTAATTAACCCAAATTGTTGCTGTTAATTTTTTTCAGTGTAACTTTGTACAAAGCGAAGGTCCCATCACCAAACCTTCTGTGCTGAAGACGAACGGTTTCCTCTTCCTCCACCTTTACAGCATCGCCTCAGTTTGTAACAACATTTAGTTTGGATGTGAGAGAAGCGCTCTCTGCTCCTCAGTTTGGTTTTCTGTTCGATTATATGATGGATCTATTGAGTATTGATCATTTTATCATGATTTATTAGTGCTGCAGAAATATTCAGCTGGATGTGAAAACCTCTGCAGCTTAGATTTCATGTTTTATTACCAGAACATGTTGAGCTTTCTGAGGTTTGCAGCTGAAATGTGACAAAGTGTGAAACGACTGAAGCTTTTAAAGTGTGGAGAAGTTCTGGAGACAGAACGTCTACCTGGCCCAGTTCACGTGAAGAAACTGCTGCTGCTGGAATCCGTTTTAACAGACACACTCAGCCCGTCTCTGAGGAAAACAACAATAATTCTGTGTGTAATAATGCCAACAACGCTGCTGTGCATCAGCGTGAGCACAAAGCATCATGGGAGATGGCGCTGCTTCCCAAACACGTGGAACCTGCTGGCGTCCGGGCAGACTTCAGTCTGCTCTGAGTGTAAAGAGTCTTATTCACTTCTGGAAAAATCAGACATAATCAGGACCAGCCGTCATGTTGCACTGCAAAAAGTCATTCTGGCAGCGTGTTGAATACAAGTTATTTGTTTTACTTTATTTTCATAATTTTTCTAGACTTCCTCATTTTTCTGATTTCTACTCTCTTACTTTCTGACAGGTGTGGTGGGTAACCATGGCAACGAGGTCCTTCCTGATTGGTCAAGAAGTCGAGATCTGTTTTCCATTTATGTTTTTATAAGTCAGCAACAAAAAGGAGAAGATGAAACATGAGCAGACATGTTTTATCTGACAGAGAAAAATAGTTTTATGTCAGGCAGGTTGGAGTAAATAAGGGTCAAAAGGTCAACAAAAGGTCAAGGTGACGTTCTTCATGTCATGTGGAGCAGGAAGGTTAACCTGAGGCTTCAGTTGTTTTCTCAGGGAGTCTGTTACCCTGCTTCGTGTTGCCAGTCAGGTTCTATTTAAATGGCTGGACTTTAATGCCCCTGGTAAGGCGCTGGCCCCTAGTGGATGGACATGTTCACTACATCAGGATGTATTCTGTTTCCATCTCCTCTGTTCAAACCAACTCAAGCAAAACTTTAAAACTTTTTTGCAAAACTGAGAAATTTTTTCTGATTTCTGCCGTTTTCATCAACTTTTTCTAATGTGATGCTTCAAAATTAGCATAAAAACTGTTGGTGGCTACAGTTAAGATTTCACACAGCCAGGCATATCGGGCAGAAACGACATCAGAATTTAAAACTGACTTTTACATCTGCTTGTTTCTCTTTGTCTGATATTTGGGACAAAAGCAGAGTGAAGCTGTAAGGGAGCCACTAGTCTGAACTGTTTTCAGCAGTTCGAACCTCGTTCAGCACCAACATCAACAGAAAGTTAAATCCTGCAGTGGACGCTCCTCTTCCTGACACATTTCTTCTCTCTTCTTGTTCTTCTGACCTTCATCTGTCTCCATTATTACATTTTCATGTCATCATTTAGATGTGAAGCGACGGCTGCATGCAGAGAACCCAGCCTCACCTTTATCCCGGACATGAAAGAGGGCGTCCGACTGATGTTTGTGGCCGTCAGAGTCAGACTGGAGCGGCTGACAGCTGCGCCGTTGCTCCGCGTTGCATCAGGCCTTGGCTTCGTTGGACGCCGGCGGGTTGCTGCAGACTTGCAGATGGATTGAAATGAGATCCGTGGACTGATTGTTTGTGTTGCAGAACCGCAGGCGGTGTGTAAACAGGGTGCTGAAGAAGCTGGAATCCTTGTTTCACTTCGTTAATTAAAGACGATGGAGAACCGGATCACAACTTCCTGCTAGAGAGCAGAAAGTTCTCAGCTCAAAGTAGCAAACGTTTTTCTGGTGTGATGGGATGTTGATGCTGTTTACAGGGAGCATTGGTGATGTCATGCTAACAGCAATTAGCCAGAGATCAGAAATAAAGCTAACACAAAGACAGATTCATACCACATAATTCCTAGTTTCTCTCCCAGTTCAGAAGCTGTTATGCTTCTGAACTGGCATTGTTGACTGTGTTAACTAGCTAATGCTAACATGCTATTCCTGTTTTAGCTCTGTTAGAATTAGCAAACATATTTCTATCTGCTCACTAACTAGGAGTAAGATTTTGTTGAGATCATTTGTGTCTGAACTTTGACTTCCTTCGATGTTTCCAAAAGTGCACCAGTCCCTCCTGAAGCATATCCCCCCTCACAGCATGATGCTGCCACTACTGTACATTACAGTTGGGATGGTAAGCATCCCAGTTTTTCCTCCAAATGTAATAAACCTTTTATGTCCAAACAGTTCATTTTGCTTTCATCAGACCTCCAAACTCTTTGATCTGAGTCCGTCCCCAAACTGTAATCTGACTTTTTTTGTTTTCGCGTTGTGTATCTTCAGTGTTCTGTGTTTTTAATCCAGCTAGTTCATTCAAAACGTGCAAATAAATGGAGCAAAATTCACATCTTTCTGAATTTTCCCCATAATTTGAAACACTAAGATGTGAAATTATAGTTTTGCCTTTATTGCTGCTCAACTTTGTGTTAACTGTTTTCTTGTTAAATTGAAACCTACGCACCTGACTGGGTCTCGCAACTTTCATCTGTTGCACTTTAATTAAAAAAAGGTGTTTATGTTGTTTACTCAGTTATGCTAACATCTCCCAATAACACCTCTGAATATGTTTCTGGGTTTGCTGAAAGCAGAGGAAGCTGCTGCTGCAGTGACTGAACTGTTTCTGGAGGTGTTGGATGATCCTGCTACTGCCAGCTGGGCTTCATCTCGCAGGTTAACCCGACAACCTGCTGCTGCACATTCAGCTCCTCTACTGAGCGGCTCAATGTTGGGATGAAGCTGGGTGTTGGTTTGTTGGCATTTCTTCCTGCCTGCACCGTGTGTGTGTGTGTGTGTGTGTGTGTGTGTGCGCTTAATCATGTGCATTAATGCCTGCAGCTGTCTCCCCCGGCGCTGTGTGGAAACGTAATGCGATTGCCACCAGTGGCTCTGATGTCAGTCTCTCATTCATCATTGTTCAGTCGTTTTTTCACTCCTTTAAAAACAACTTTCTATCGCATCAGAGACTTCCTGGAAGTCCAATCAGGGACGTTTTCCACGGTGAGATGCTGAAGGAAGACATCCACTGTCAGGAGGTCCTGAAATCTCTGGATTTTATTTCTCACTCACCAAGGTTGAGTTAAACACGGGGTCTGGTTTCCCGTCTCCCTGCTTAGTTTTATTGTTACCAGAATAATAAAACTCTGGCAATAAACACTAACTATTGGCCTTTTATTAGAATAATAAACACTAATAGTTCGCTACAAAACTAGTTCAAAACGATTCTTCATAATTTCTGCTGTCAATCTGTGATCAAGGATCCTCATGATAGATGATCTATAAGGATCTATCATAGATCATCAGGATCTGTCAGACTGGAGCAAATCTGCTCCATGTCTCAGAATGACACATGGAGACATTAAAGTGTCTTTTTAACATTTGTTACGTTTTAAATATTAATCCATGCTTAGAATGAATCGTTTCCTCCTTCCCTCCATTTTGTTTTAACGAAACGTCTCGGAGAGAGAACACCACCATTCTGCAGACTGCGTTTAAATTTCCACCCAGGAATTTTTCAATCTTTGGGGTTATTCAGTGAAAAATAGTAAAAGATATTGAAAATTCTTCATTGATAAACGTTTCTTAAAAGTATTCATGTGGCCTATTGAAACCAGATGGTGAAAACGGAGGAGTTGAAGCAAAATATCAATATTACGGCATAAGCCCCGCCCATAACATTCTGACCAATCACATCCCGCCTCTGTGTTCCGTACCGGACCTTCTAACCAATCACAGCTCACCTCTCGGAGTTCTGTACCGGAGGGAACTGCGTAGCTCCGCTGTAGCTTAACTAGCTCCGTTTATTAGCGGTGTTCCTGAAGTTCTCCGTCTACATTTTGTGAACTTTGAACTCGGTGAAGCTCATGTCCAGCTCGGTTTTCCTCCCAGGAATTCAGGTAAAAACCAAAAAGAACTAAAATATTTTCCTTCAACGAAGACGGAGCCGCTCGAATTTCTTTCATTCGTTTTAGTAGCTTCCTCTTTGTTGTGCCGCGCATGCGTATGTGAAAGTACCGTCGCAGTGGCGACATCAAAACCTCCCGTGTGTTTACAAGATGGAGGGCAGGTTAACTTTCCCCCTGCAGTTTATTTAAATATTTATTAAATCCTTCGGTAGCCTTTTGAAGGCTAATTTAGCAGAGCCATAAATGACCAAACTGCGTTTTGCTTCCTGTTGTCTGAAGGACTGAATATATTTCCTATGACTCTGACATGAGCTGCTGCTTTTTCTCTCCTTCAACCAGTTATTGGCTCCAGTTCATGAATCGTTGCTCTGCTCAAATGAGAGATAATCTGTTGCTAAAGAACAGATGTAGTAATTTCAAACATTCACGTCCATTTCTGTGTGTGTGTGTGTGTGTGTGTGTTGCTGCACTCTAACCACTAATTAGGCTGAAGACATCCAGTCCTTATGGCATTTGACTGAAAACTGTGAAAACATGCATAGTAATCTTCTGCTGTTGGTTTTCTTCATCCTGGTGGCATTCTGCACTGACTGTTGCTGATGTTTTGAAGGCGTGATAACAAGGCTTGCAGCATGTTGATGCACAATTTATATGACCTCTGACCTCTGCACCACCAGTCCAGATTCAGCTGGTCTGGTTGCTGGAAAATGCAGAATGTTTCTGGAGTCTGGATTGTTGGAAGAATCTAATTGTCGGGCCTGTTTGGATGCCAGGCTGAAGGGAGAACAATCTGATAGTCTGCAGGTGTTTTCACTGAAAGTCGACAGGAGAATCCGATAACAATGCCTTCAGGCTTCAGCGCCTTGGTGGGATTCATCCACAGCGATTGGAGCAGAAACGCACAGAAATTTACCGTTGTAATTACTCCTTCTGATTGGACGAGTTGAGATATCAAAGAAGTCTCAGTTTTATGTAAAATCAAGTTTTTTGTCTTTCCTCATCGATCAGCTTTGATCGTTCATGCATGTTTGAGAAATCCTTAAATCTCCATGGCAACCATTCAGCTGTTACAACACCCAGGTGGACCTAGCCCCGCCCCTGAGGCATAGCTCCTCCCCCACTCAGCTCCTTCAGACTAGCCAGCAGCAATTAGCAAACATCTGCTGAGCTCATTATAGGAGCTGCTGCTCAGTGTAAAAACGTTAAAGGGTTAATAGAGGAGGCATGTTGGGATGACTTCCTGGAGGCGGAGCTTCAGAAAGAGCAGGAGTTCTTAAAGAGACAGAGGCCCAATTTCAAGATGTTAAATTTCTTTTAAATTATATTTTATATATGTATACAGCATTTTCATATAACATTTTATCATGGACTGAAACCTCCTGACAATCTGGAGTTGGATCAGAGTTGTAAAATGTTTGGCTTCTTGTCGTCCTTAAGGAAAAGCGACTTCCCTCCACCGCGGTCTGCTTCTTGTGTGCTGATAAACCAAGAGACGGATCAGAAGTTCTCCTCTGTCTGCTGGCTCAGCTGCCATGTTGATCCGCTCCAAACAAAGAGGCTTTTTCCAAGCCGCTGAACAACCGAGCTATCCAGGTGTGTGTGTGTGTTACCATAGCAACAGATGTGCGTTAGTGAGGACGGCAGAGGGGGGTCCGCTCCATGCAGCAACGTGAAGTTCTTGTTGAGATCAGAGTGTCGGCTGCACTGCCAGAATAAACATCATGAGAGGAACGATTCAGCCTCAGACATTAACGGGTTTGGAAAACATTTCACCTGAACTACGACTCAGAGCAAACGGTTAACTTTTATTGGTCGTAGCAGGAGTTTTAGTTTCATGCTTTGTTTCTTTAGCACTGTGATTATGTTTCCATCGAGTGGAAAATGAATACTCAACAGAAGATACTATTTTCAAAAAATGTAAATTATTGTTGGACAAGTGACTGACTGGTGTTTCCTCCCAACTTTTGCTGTCGCCGTTTTGCGCAGCGCCACCAGGTGGATTATGACGCGCCGTAATTTGCTGAAAACTGATGGAAACTGATTGGTTCACATCAGATTAAAAGGATAATAAATAGATTCACAAACACGAAAACCAAGAATGTTACATCTATAATTTCAGGATGTTTCGGGTATAATTCCATATAATGTTCCAGTTAGTTACAGCTAGAATTATAGCTAACTAGTTAATTATGTTTTCATTTATTCCTGTTCAAGTTAATTGGTTAGCTGTTGTTAATTGGTTACCTGTTGGGTCCTGCTCTAACCGAGTTTGGCTCCTGGTCAGACTGATGTTTCACCTCCCGTCACGGTTTCCTGTCTCCTCCTCTTCTCCTCCGTCTGCATCGTTTTGCTTCATATTTCTGTAGTTTTGGTTGACTCATTACCAGGATCAGCTGTCGGTGGAAATTCGTCCCGGCTGCTGACAGCTGGACCGCTGCTGCCTGTCACCTGACCTCATTATCTCCCTGCCCAGCTGCTTCACGTTACTAATTAGTGTCACTTTAATAAATGAGCCGTTGACACTTCCTCCCTGTCAGCGTCCAATTGGTACCGGATCAGTTCTAGTTTTGTCTTCGCTGACCGTAAAGCTGCTGTTTATAATCCCTATTTACTGTCGGCTCGGTTTTAATGAGACGCTGACACCTGGGAGTTACCTGTGGGGTAAGGGGCTCAAACAGGAAGCAGTCACACCTGCCTCGCCCCAATCATCCTGGGCTACAGGTCCGTGTCCCGGCAGGACAGGAAGTCATTAAGACTGTCAGAAAACGCTCAGATTTACATCCTTCAGCTTAATAAGTCCATGCTGCTAGCATACAGTACCAACGTTTCTGTAAAGCTGTTTAGAAGCAGCTGACACAAAACTACAAACTGTAAAATAACAGTCATAAATAAGGCACAGGAGCAATAAAATATGAAACACTGCCAGTTAAAACCAACAAGGTCAAACCATGTCTTGCTTATTACTGAAAGCTGAAGAATAAAAACAGGTTTAAAGCTGAGTTTTATCTGAAGGATTAGGAAGCTCCGCCCCCTCTGAGACCTTCACACCTGCAGGAGCTGCAGCTCAGCCGACCTGCCGGGCCGAGATGGAGACGTTCAGAGAGGCACGGCGGGTCGGGAAGGGCATTCAGACACTTAAAAACAAAAGTAAGAATGTTAACATGAACTGTAAAATCCACCAGCAGCCGGTGAAGTGAGGCCAGCACAGAGGTGATGTTTTCTGCTTTTGGAGTTAAAAGGCATTCAGCAATGACTGAGTCACTCCAACATGGAGTCCACTGCAATAAAGATGAAATAAAAGCTTAGATCTGGACAGAAAGGATTTCATTTTTCACAACCAGTAAAGATTTTAAAACTGCTCCATGTTAAGATCACTGTCTAACTCAGTGTTTCTCCCCCCTGGTCCTCTGCCCCCCCCCCTGCTCTGCATGTTTTAGATGAGCCTCTATTCCAGAACAGCTGATTCAAATGGCTGCATGACCATCAGGTGCTGCAGATCCTGTTAACCACCCAGAGATACAATTCAGGTGGCAGAAGGGAAACACCTGAAACATGCAGGACA